AAGTATTTTTATAATTTAGTTTTAGAAAAATAAAAGAAGAAAAGAGAGCAAAAATACAAAAAAAATCGGAATTGGGCCACTTCTTCAATTATAACCCACAAGCCCCAAAAATACTCAACCTTCTCATGACCCGGTCCACTTCAAACCGGGTCGACCCGGTCCGCCCCATAACCCCAATACCCAACCCCTCTTCATTTTTCATTTTTCCCAAAACAAAACAAAAACAAAAAAAAAAACTCAAAAAAACCCTAAAACCTAAGAAAACCATCCCCCCTCTTGCTCTCTTCTCCTTCTTCTCCAAAAAGAGCTCAAAGCCCCTCCCATGGCTGCCCCTCTCCCGTTCCCTTCATCCCCACGCCACACACACAACCACGTCGACAACACACACACACACACAACCACGGCGACGTAACACACACACACACCCGCGGCTTCACCCATGAACGACCATCCATGAACGACCACGGCCTTGTCGCCTTTGCTCCAAAGCCAAGCGGCTCCTGCTGCATCTAGCATGGTCGAGCAGTTGGTTCGAAAAACCGACCCCATCACTCCAAACGACCAGCCCGTCGTTGCTGCTCCATTCCAGCTGCCTCGTCGAGCTGCTACTGCTTCACTGCTCCAGCAGTATTACTGCTGCTTGCTCCGTCGAGCTCCACCATGAAAACCCAGTCTGCTGTCGCTTCATCTTCTCCAGCTCCTCCGTGCTGCTGCTCACGTTTCTTCTTCTGCTCCCCGCTGCTGCCTGCGCTGCTGCTGTCCGTTACTTCTCCTTCAAGTTCTTCGTTTGTCCGTTCGTGATCGTCTTCGGCGTCAAATGGTTTAGGTGCGATATTTGTTTTCGGGCAGATTTGTTTTCGTTCGAGTTTATCATCGTTCCGATCCGGTTAGTTGGTTTAAGTTTCGTTCCCATCCGTAATTTGTTTGATATTTTTCGGATATGAAATCATTAAATGTTTGATTCTTGTTCTTGATTTTTATTCAGTTGTTTCATTTTTCTTGTTTATTTTTGTAGAAATTGTTAGTTTGATTAATTATATTGTTGATAGATTTAAGTTGAAGATTCAATTAAATTATTTTTCAGTTTGTTTTATTAATTTTAAGATGATTTATTTTTAATATAGAAAAGTGTTAGCTTAAATCGTTTGAATCCGTTGTTTGTTGTTAATATAGATTTAATTCGTATTCATTTTTTTTGAAGTTCGTTTTTAATTCAGTGATTTAATGTGAAGTTATGTTTTGGTTTTTAATTTTTGGATCATGTATCTTTGTTATAATTTTGTTGGATTTAATTTAAAAAGATTAATTGATTATTTGAAGATTAGTGATTTGAATATGTTTATTTGTTTTGTTTAAGTTTAATTCGAAGTTTGAATAAAGCTTGTTTGTTATTGTTGTTGAATCTTTTCATTTATGTTCATACTTTGTTTGATTGATCTTGAATCCGAAATTAGTATAGTTTGATCTTCTTGTTTGTTGATTTTCATTTTTGATTATTTCTTTAGTTTGCTTCATGATTTTGTTTAAGTTTTAATATAGGAATTGTTGGTTGTAAAATTGTTAGATTTTAAGTTCAAATGATTATTGAATTTAGAAATCTGAATATATTTGTTTGTTGTTGTTGTTGTTGAATCTGAAAGTAGGTTTGTTTGTTGTTAAAGATGTTCAATCAAGATAATTTTAGTTGTTTCCTTGTTGTTCATCATTTAGTTTGAATTTGTTATTGAACATTGTTAGAAATTGATCATATTGGCTATATTTTGGTTAAGATTGATTAGGTGAATTGGTTATAGCTAATGGGGGTAGTTTGGTAATTTGCAGTACGTTCAGGGGTAAAATGGTAATTGTAATAAGGTCGGAGGGGTAGTTTGGGAATTGAACATTTTGAATAATTCTTTATGTTAAGCATGGGGGACAAAATGTAATGGGGTGTGGGTGATATAATTGTTTAATATAAATGGGGGACAGGACATAATGTAGTGGAGGGGAATATGATAATTGTTTATGTTAGGCATGGGGGACAAGATGTAATGAGTTGGATTGATATATTTGTTTAATGTAGTGGGGGATGAGTGGGAAGATAGTGGGTTTGGTATGACAAAGTGGTTGTTATTAATTGATTAAAGGGTTTGGGATGGGATATAAATGAAAGGCTTGAATCAAATTTTGGGGACAGACAGAAAAAAGAGGAGACAAATAGATAGAGAGAAAAAAAGAGCTGAATATTTAAGAGAGAAAGAAAATTCCGAAAAATATTAAAACTTTCAAGAAAAAGAAAAGAAAAAAAATACAAATAAAAAAGGAGCTGGAAATTAGAAGAGAGAGTAGTACACACCTGATAAATATTCTGATATACGGGTTTAGAAAAGAAGGGTTAAACATTAATTAGCCTTTCAAAATCT